TAATGGCTGTTTCACATTTCCCTTTGAGGACATCCCCCAAATCTGTCTTTTTTATCAGTGCTCCTGATGTTTTGCTGATTCAGCTTGCAGAGTAATCTGGGTGGTGGAAATAGCCCCATTGTTCTCTTCAAAGATAACTGATTCAGACTCATAAATATGTCCAAGACTAAGACGTGTACTCTCCTTCAAAAGAGTAAAAGCAAGATTTTTCCTCTCTGCTTCTTTTTAGGCATTTTGCTCATAGGTGAATTTAAAAACAATAACTTCTATTCCTTTCTCAAGTCTAGGAATGTCTATTTAACTGATAAGTTTTTAGTTTCTTAACTGTCAGGTAGACTAGACTCTACTGAATTTGAACTCAATTCTTTATTTTTTTGGGAAAATGGGGAAAAACATTTGGGGGGGAACATTTTTTGTGGGGAGAGGAGTGGCGTATTTCATTGAAATGGTAGTTACATATTAGAATCGCCAATAAGTGATTTATGTGTACTGGATTTGATATTAGGGTCTTTCTGACTCTGAGGCCAGTTCACTAACTGATGTAATTTGGTACGTCTCTGCCCTGGTTTTGTTTTGTCCACTTCTAAATTATGATGCCTACTCCCCACTAAGTATTCTGCACTCTATTTTCCAAGTAAAGATCCTCCTCTTTTGCTTCACTCCACAAATCTTTAGATGCTTTGTGCTCAATTCCAGCCTACTCAGTATAGGATTCATTTCATTCAGTTGTCCATTTCATCAGTGGCAGTCACCAGTAGCGGTTACAATGGCCAAGCAGGAGTGGAGCCTGATGAGACCACGGCCTGAACCGGCTTTCTGAGAACCATTCCGCCTAATCTTTGACTCAAGTGTTGCTCAGTGAAAGTCCCAGCTCAGAATGTTAAGCCAGGCAGGAGACTGCCAGTCAACGGTCAGAAACAAATGCTCCTCTGGGGAATGGGTGAATAGTGTTTGTGGCACCAATAACTAACAGGAATAAACCAGACTTGAAAGATGGAAGCAGTACTTAGGTCACATATCCCACATTAGAGCCATAGGATAGCAGGGCTGGGATGAACTCTGAAAGCTATCATCACAGGCTCTGGCAGTGTTCTTAGCCTATATAACAGGCCCTAGGGCTTCTAAGATAATCATCCAGGAAGATTGGATTTTTAACAAATATGGAAAATACTGAACTTGCTTCTTTCCTTTCCCCCTTTTTGCCAATGAAACTAGGCAGCTAGCTGAGCCAAAATCAGCACCTCGGCATGAATTGTGAAGATTAACATTAAAATTTGGTTTTGGCTCTATGTTCAGCCAATCAAGTTCCAACTTATTTTATTTAGATCCCTTGCCATCAATACGATGATTTTTTTTTTGTTGTTTGGACCTATAGTTTCATTTGTATAGGATGCTAAGTGAGGAAATTCCCTCTATGTATGTAAATTGGCAACTGTTCTGCTACTTATAATCTTGGAGAGTAACCTAGGGCATGTGATTATCATAATTAAAATTTTAAGCTGCAGTATGAGGTTATAAAGTCTAGTATGTAGAAGATCTGGATTCAGATTCTGCTGCTGACTTCCTTCAAGTGCCAGTTAAAACCCCACCTTTGGAAGCCTTTCCTGATCCCTCTTAATAAGTGTAGTGCCATAGCTCTCTTAAATATTTCCAATTTACCCTGCAAATAACTATTGTATATAGTGGTTTGCATATTGTCTCCCCCATTACTACACTGTGAGCTCTTTGAGAACATGGTCTATAATTCATCTTTGTTTCTATCTCCAGCACCTGGCATAAAGGAAGCAGTTATTCAGTCCTGTCTGACTCTGTGACCCCATTTGGGGTTTTCCTGGCAAAGATAATAGAGTGGTCATTTCCTTCTCCAGCTCATTTTGCAGATGAGGAAACTAAGGCAAACCAAGTCATCTCACCTCTCAGTGAGCTAAAAGTTCAAGATGCTCACAAATTACCAATTTCCACTGGTAGAGGTAGCTTCACAGGGAATTTCCTATACCAAATCACAGATTCAAACAATTCCCCTTCCTCTCCCAAGGGGGAAAAAAATCTACCTGAAATTCAGGTTCTTTTAAAGTTTGTAAAATGTTTTACAAATGTTTTCATTTGTTTTCATTTCATTTATAAATCTATGCCTGCTTTTAGACAAGATGAGGTGTGTCCTTTTAGATAACTGCTCAATGAGCGCCATTTTATGGAGCACGTGCAGTTCTGGAGGAGAGGGGGCTGTCACCTGTTCGGCACCTGCTCCACAGTGTTCAGCTGCCAGTCTGTTTAGTCTGATAAGCTGCTTCCCATTGCATCATCAGTACATTGCTGTTCTGTACTCAGTGTGTAGTTTCATTCTTCATGGGGGTGCATTTAGGCCTCATTTAGCATGAGAAAGTAAAAAATTTAAAAGTCAAATCTGTTCATTCTGCTCCTTATGAACATCTGGTTTGGTGGAAAAGGAATGATGGATAAAGCTTTGGATTATATGTGGATTTCATTTCTCCTCTCATGGACTATTTTCTGATTTTTCCCCATCGTTTTGTGATGGGGCACTGAAAAGTAATAGTTTTAAGAAATTTTAAGGAAAGAAAAAAGCTACAGTTAGGTTGAAAAGGATACAGGACCTCCTGCTGGCTTCAGTATTCTTCAGTTTTTCTGCTGCCCTCAGAGAACATATTATCAGAGATGAGCCTTATAAGTCTAGACCTGCAGAAAGAGACCATTTTTCTTAACACTTACCAAAGTGTTTTGAAATGCTTCACTGGAGCATAGGAGTCAGCTACTAATCCTGTCATGCTATAGTTAACATTGCCCTCTAATAAAATTTGATGTAGAAAGGATTCCTGCTTTGATAGAAGGTTGGAGTAAATGACACCTAAAGTAACTTCGCATTAATTCTGCCACTCTAAGATTATGTGAAAATGTCTTATCATAATGAATGATCCAGAAAGCTCTACTCAGTCTAGATAGAGATGATTTCATATGATTATCTAACTAGACAGGCTCTGGCCCTGGGCTAATTAGGAGAGGGAATATCCTAGCTGACCCTGCCCTTCAGAAAAGGACCTCTAGAAGGTGGCTAGGCACACATTCTTGTGCTTTGAAGGACAGGTCGGTGACTAGCTATAAAGACATTTCAAAACTGTTTCACTACTCTCAATTTTTATCTTTTATCTTTAAATGTTGTCACGTGTTGACCAACCTCACTCCTCCATGTGGATGGGTTACTGTTCAAACCGACCACTAGTTTGACCTAGCATTCAAAATTCCCATAAGGCACTGCCTTCTACTCAATCCAGTGGTGTATCTTGAAAGTAGCCCTTTGAGAATCTATTCAATAGTTTTCCTTCTCTCTTTCTGTTATTGAGTAACCTGCCCTACAGTATGAAAGACAACTACTGAACTGAATAATAATTCTTTAGTCAATATATAATCATAAGTTAATTCCAGTGTTTCTGGGGAAGAGATATTACAAGTGACAAAATTTATTTGAAGGCTCCCTTCCTTTAAATGAAAAACAATACCACTGAGCCAAATACAACCGAGATAGGGTTAGTTTTCAAAGGTGGGATGTCAGACTCTTTCTATCAAGTACAGTTCATCGTTATTAATACTTTACTACTGCTCAGGCAGAATTCTGCTGGGAAAACAGAACTTCTTATAACTAGGTACTTAACAACTATGACCAGCACTGTGGCTTCCCTGAAGGTTCCATGGTCACTGCTCCTCTAGGTCCAGGGCACACTGTTGACCCACACTTGCTCCCAAATGAATCCATGAAACTTAACAATTTCTGAATTTGCACCTAATTTCTTTCATGGGACTCAGCACCTTTGCCTCAGTAGTATAAATGCTCAAATAAAGTAAACTAACCAGCAAAATTATTTAAGCCACTGACTATGAAAAAGTACTTCTTACTATCTTGGTTGAGCAACCCAGACTATGCAGAAACCCTGAAATGGGAGGAAAGATAACAGCAAACAAAAAGCCTAAAGGATAAACATTTATTATAAATGTAGATATCATAATTAAGCAAAATAAATTTGTAATAGTACCTTTATCTTTAAATATGGATCTACAAATAATGCCACTGAAATTAAGAACATGTTATTCAAACCACCTACAGTAATTTATCTACCTAAGATATATATGATAAAAGAAATTTTAAAATAGCTGTAGAAAATCAATTCTCTTCAGTGTCCTTTCCAAGGACCAAAAGAAACAATGTTATGTCTAGATCGGTTAAAACCATTGTTTTTAAAATCAATTAAATGAAGCATGAATCTAATGAAAGCAAGAAACATGGTTTTCTTGGCTTTTCTTTAAAAAAATCTTTTTAGTTTAAAAATCAAAACCTAATTTTCTCTTTCTGAATGGGGAATTTCTATTAATATCTCAAAAAGAATGTGTTGTCTTTTACTGAACTGCAATTCTTCCTATGCTATAGGCATCTTAGGGAACTCTAGCCTTTGATACAATCCCTCATTTCTATCCACCTCCCCAGAAATCTCCAGAGTAAAATGAGGAAAGTAATTCCTCCTCTAGAAGACAGTGCTAGTCAGGAGTAGCAGCCAAAGGACTTGGTCTGTATTTCTCAGTCAATTCTTTGAAGTAACACTCCAGTCAGGGAGGGAGGAACCCAATGCATCCTGATTTCCTCCTTCAGTGTCTTCATCTTAGCTCTCCAAATACCACTGCTGTGGGGAGGAGCCATCACAGATTGCCATAGCAACATAGCCTTTCCGACTCAATGGATCAACCACCTTTAGGCACTGCCCAACTGATACCTGGTAGAGCCGACTGTTTTTCTGAAAGAAAATTGTAGAAAGAAACAGCACCAATTATTTGCTTCTACATATGAAGAAGAACAAGACAGCCTCTCTTATGCTAAGCAGAATCTCCAAATCAAGCCCAACTTTAAGAAATACTGGAAATACAGACTATACAAATACAGAGTCAAAGGACCCTAGCCCCAGTTTTCTTGCTGGAAGATAGAGACATATATTTCAAGG